TTAATGTCATTATAATTTTCATAATGTTTAATCCATTTTTCACATAGTATTTTCATTATGTATTGCTCTTCCTTCCTTTGCCTGAGCTACCATGTTGTCTGTGCTAAGTTCTGTATAGAAGAACATCCACTCCAGCTTTTGGCTTTTGCCTTTTTGCTTTTGCTAATCTACACCAAGGCTGTAGCATCACACTACTCCAGATAGATTCCTCTGCTGACCCTGTGTGGAGTGACCACAGAAGGAGGCATAGTAGTCAGACTCTTTGACTTCAGGCAGTGACAGACAGCAATATGGGGTGCCATGCCTTGTGTGTAAGCAGGTAGTAGCAACTATAAGCAAGGACATTGCAGAGTTTTACTCATTGGTGTTGAGTTCCAGGTTTATTGGAGAAGTCTACAGAAAATGAATGTACAGTGCATGCCACTCACTTAGAAGATATTTCAGTGATACCTTTCCTAACCCAATCTCCAACTGCACTTTCTAAAAGTGAATGGAGTCATAGAATCTCAGATTGGCTTGGTTTGGAAAGGGACCTTAAAGTCAGTCAGTTCCACCGCCCTGAACTGGGGCTAGCTGTGGCCCCATCCAGCCTGACCTTGAATGCCTCCAGGGATGGAGCATCCAAAGCTTCACTAGGTAATTGTTCTTGTGCCACACCATCCTCTGAGTGAAAAATTTCCTCCAAACATCTTACCTAAATTTCCCCTCTTTTAATTTGAAAAATTCCTATCTTGGGGATTATACAAGAAACAACAGATGTGTAACAAATTAAGCCTGGCTTAATGAATGAAATACTAGCCCTTAATTTCCTCTTTGTTTGACAAGCTGCAAAAAAATTTGTATAATAGAGTCTGCAACTTTTTTTTTTTTTTTTTTTTTTTTTTTTACTAGAGATCTCTACCCAGGAGAAACTGTGACTTAAAATTCTCAGTCTTCCAAAGAAATATTCTGACTTCTTTCTTTTCAAAATAAAATCAAATTATCAAATTCTCCATTCTATTATTTGAATTTGAACAGAATTTGAAAAGAATTTGCAAAATTTAAAAAAATGCTTTTCCATTACTTTATGTTCTTACCAGAGTCTTGCTATTCAAAGAAAAACTGCAGGTGTTTTTGCTTTCACTGTTTTTCTTACAGGGGTCACGTGCTTCTTTTAATTACAGCCCTATTCCCTGCTGAGGCCTGTACAAGTATTACCCACAGCAGTGTTTTAGTTGCTACATCTAGACTGAGACAAAAGCTAATCTTCTGTGTCAGAGGTTTACTGTACTGGATTTATTAACACATTCATGATCTTCACTAGTCTTTTAAAATTCTTCAGGTGAAATGCATCCTTAGTGAAGTCAACCATAATAAATTCTAAAACTGCAGGGTGATTTTGTGACAGGTGATGAATTCTATGCTATAATATTACACTGCAGAGACATAACTACAAAGAAAAAAAAAATGAGCATTTGCAAATACTTATTGGCACAATAATTATCCATTACAAACGACTAATTGACAACTCAAGTACAGACAAAGAAAGAATCCCAACGATCAGGAATCAAAGCAGGAAAAGACTGTGCATTGTGTCATGTAGCCACTGATCAATCCATGCTATTCAGAATGTGTCTTTGTATAGTTGCAGAATGGTTGGGATTGGAAGGGCTCTTAAAGTTCTCTTCCTTTCATGTAATATTTCATTAACTCTACAAAATAAGTGTAGAAGAAATATGCATCAAGAAATTGATTCCTTCAGTTATGTTTATGTGGTGTCTTTGATTTAAGTGGGAATGACAAAAAGTATTATTATTAATCAAAACAGAGCTCGTATTTAAACATCCAAGGGAAGAATATGGTACTTCAGTTGCAAAGTAGCAAAACATTCACTCCAGTACTTCATTCACATGCAGTTTTCTAAATAAGTCTCAAACTGTTGTATGTAGTGAGACTCGCCTGTTTCAACAGCAGGGAGTGTGTAGGCACATGAGTCCTCTATTTGCTGCTGTGCTAAGCAATAAATTAGCAAAAGCTGATACAATATTAACCTCCTTTAATTACAGTGTTCTTGTTGTCTGTTTGCTCTACTGTGTATATTTAGTTGCACAGTCTCTGAGTACTGTGGTGTTTGCAGTGCGATCATAAATAAATGGCTGTGCAGTTCATTTTCAGGCATGAGTGATGAATGTTCATAAGGCTTTAGAAGTGCTTAGAGAAGAAGTTGACTGTTTCAAAACATTAGAGCAAATACTTAAATTGGTTCATAAATTCTGTTTCCATATAGTCTTTTTCAGACACTTGATAAGAATTTAGATTCAGTTCACAGATAACTTACAAGATAAAATATCATGTAAGTGTATTACCAAATCCATAAATAATCAAAGACATGAGGACACAGGTGAAAATGCAAGTGCAAATCTAAGAGTGCGATGAATTGGAAAGTTAGCGTCTTGGCGGGTGGCAATCTACCAATGCCCAGTTAAAACCGGAGAGAATTTTATGGATGTAAGTAGTAAATATTTGATGAAATGCTAATTTCAGGCACTGAAAGCTACTGTAGGTGGGAAATGCCTAAATTTTGTAACATGTTCCAAACTAGATGTTGTGCATAGGACAGCCCATCGCAATAGCTGTAAGTGTTAATCGGGTGGCTATGTAATGAAGTTCAACTATTTAATCCTGTAGACAGATTTTTTTCCATGTTTTATTCTACAGTATTGTTCTACAAAATCAAAGCAAGTCAAAGTTGTATTGAGACTAGAAGATCTATTTGTGACTGAAAGAATGTGTTAATGTTGTGGCTGATTTTTCAGCTTCATGGAATAGAATCTATATCAGATTCAGGTCTGACAGAGGTGTGACTTCTGAGAGTGCTGCTTTCACCCTCAGGTGTAGAATTAGTCTGTGATGTACAGATGAAATTAATTGCTGTGCAGCAGAGTTCTTTTATACTGTTTTGCTTATCTTTAAACAAAAAGTATTTAAAAAACATTTTCTGAAAACATTAGGTTTCTTGCAGTTGATTTTAGTTCAGTATCTTTAAACTGATGCCTTCATGTTAAAATTCCAACAAGCAAAATACTTAGGTCATTCTGAAAGTAATGCCTCCTACTTCATTCTACGGAAACTACAACAGGTGCAAAGAGCACAATAGCACTATATCTGATGGTAGAGCACATTCTCAGCTACAAAATATTATTTTTCAACATAGTCACCATCATTAACTATGCATTTTTGCCAGGAGTGAACAAGAGCCTGCATGCCACACTTGTAAAAATCTGACCCACTGTTGCCACTGCTGAAACACAACGCCCACCAACTCACTGTGCTCACATCCACTGTTTGGTCTCTATAAACATTCAGCAAGCATCAGTGAATGTCAGTGGGTGTTATTTTTTTTTTGCGTGGAGGAATTCATTGACACACCTTTGCTTCATATGCACTTGCATGTCAAAAGCTATTCTGTCGGACTGCTCCTCTGCTGCTATATGTGACACAGCAAAAAAAATGTAAGGGAATGTTGGTGGAAAGACTCAGCCTCTACTGCCATACTGTCAGTGTTTTTCTCTGACACTGTGGGCCAACGTAACAAAATAGGAGGTATTACTTTCAGAACAGCCCTCATATTTTCTGGTCATCTGTGACTCCAGGAGTTTGGATTTTTTCACTGACCTACATAGAAGCCATCATTCGTATCCAATATCCCAGCTTAAAAAATACCTTATATCTATATTTGCAGAAGTCTCCCAGCACGGGCATATTAGTAGGAGATGACTGGAAAACATATTCTACTACATTATGCAGCACATTTTTCAAAGTCACAAAAATAGCACAAGATTTGCTTTTACCTATTCATTGCTGATTGTTATTGTCTCCATGGTAATTATTCTTGCAGTGTTTGTTTAACCCCTTAATATTTAAACTCTTCTTGTACACGTTACATAGTTGGCAGAGAAGGCTACAGCGGAAGACATGAGTGGTTAATTGACTTTTATTGAAGTACTTAATAGCTTGCTCCTGTCTTCATCGTTAAACACTGCTGATCCACTGTAAACTGAGATCTATTGGGATGATGTTTTTAAAGATATTTAGTTTTCCTCTACCCTAAATTTTACTTCTGTTGTTTCTTCTTTTTTCCCAAGATACTGTGGTGGTAAAAAGGATAAAGCTATTGCTACTGAGTCTTTTTTTCTTAAGAGGAACATATTAAATTATCTTGCCTATTGAAGGGCAGGTTTTGCATGTTTTGTTTTGTTTTGATTTTGCATATGGTTTACATACAGTTCAGTTCATGGAGCAGAAATTGTGCTAATTCTCTAGGTAGCTACATTTTGCTTAGCTTTTTAAACTGCTGTAAAGAGATCTGAGATCTTTTTGAAAGATCAAATCTTATTTCAGTTAATTCTAATGGTTTTCTACTTGTAGTATTCCACCATTATCACCACTCTGTGTGTTTGAGCTCTATTAAAGATTTAAATGAAAGTTTTATGGAAAACACTTTTTTAGAATTCAGAGGATTTTATGGATTGTTATTCATAACATCTGCTACTTACAGGGGAAAAAAAAGATTTAAAAAGCTCATTTAATGTGTATTTAATGCTGATGGTACAATTTTATATTAAATAAGATTGGTTTTAGTTTAGCAGTTGTGTTTGTGTAGCTGTAGGAAAGATCTGTTTGTTCTATAAACTCAGGTCTGAAGTTTATAACTGGGCTGTTAAAACTTTCATTACAAGGAAGGTTGATATTTCTCAGCATACAACGTGTTTTTCTGGAATAAGAGTACAAAATAGACATTTTAATGCTAATGAATACTTGTTGGTTACTGAAAAGCATTAATTAAAGAAATAAGTAGAGGCCTTTCTATTTTCCTGCAGTATGCTTTGTAATTATTTGTTTTTCCTCTGAACCCAAAACTTCACTCAAATTTGAGATAGCCACAAGGGATATTTTGGGAGGTATTGTAAAGGCAGAGAAATCAAGCTTAAGCTTCTTTTTATTATTATGTTTAACTGCAGGAAACTCTGATCAGTTTTGTCTTGACATTGAACGGGGCAGGTGTGTCCACATAAGGTGCAACAGAGAGGATTTGCATGCTGGCTTGCTGAAGTGACAGAATTGTGCAAAATAACTGCAGTGGTCTGGCAAGCTTCAGGAAGCAGGTGGGTCTGAGTTGCCTGTCTCCAAAATTACAATACTGAAGATGCATGCTTGCCTGCTGCCTAACTGAGGACCTGTATACACTTTTTTTTCATCACATTATCATCTCCCAAGCTCCTTTTCTGTGCATCTTGACATATTTGCAACTGTCTGAAGCTGGGTAGGGTTGCCTATAACTCTGAGCACATTCAAGATTGAGAAATTCTATGTGTACATGTGAATACGATAATGCTGTGAGCAGAATTTGTATATGCATATAGGGAGGCATAAATTTACATACAAGAGATGTTGATACTGGCTTTTATTGGATACAAGTAATAGCATTCATTAGATTTAGACGCTATTTCTCCTTTGTATTTTTACTTTTCTTCACTTGCCTTGTTAAATGCTATTAATATTTAACAAATATGATAGATTATATAATTATCATATTAATCAGAAAAAATCCTTTTTTTTTTCCTCATAAGTGTTTTTATCAGGAAAAAGATTGCTCAAATTGAAACGTCTAGGAAATCATGAAAATTTCATCAGGGAGCGTTTTCAGAATGGATACAATGCAGGTGAAGAGACCAGAATGGTCAGCAATCTGGTAATTAGAAAACTTACCTGAGAGCATTTGAAGTACTGATTAGAATCTAGCCGTGCAGATCACAAGGATGTGGCTGAACAAAGAGCTACTCTGAGGTGGTTTTCTTTTTCAAAAACAATGAATTACAAGAAGATAATTGGGAGCAGTCAACAAGGACTTGAGAGTGGTAAGTCTTACTATACCAGCCTGAAAACTACTCATGTAAAGAGGCAGTGGTGGAGAAGGGAGCTGTAGTGAATGTACTATAACTTGACTCAAGAAAGCTTTTTGCACTGTCTTCTTTTTCACAGTAATCACATTTGGAAAATAAAGTTGGGGCTGAATCATTGGGTAGTTAAAGGGTCTGAAAATTAGCGACCATCAGGCTAAAGGGGTCAATCATTGCTTTAATGTGGGAGTATGAAGGGGTAAATACTAAAGCTGTTCATGTGAAATGCCTTAATCAGTCATCTGGATGATAGGGAAGTGGTGGATTCACCATTGTTGGAAGTATTTAAGAGGTGTGTGGATACGGTGCTTAGGTTTAGTGGTAGTCTTGGTTGTATTATTGGTTAATTTGACAGTTGGACTTGATCTTAAGGGTATTTCCAACCTAAGTGATTGTATGAAGCAAGTGAATACACAGTTGGCCAAATTGCAGATGATCCTAAATTGCAGGTGTGTTATGGCAAAAGATAGAACTTCAGTGCAAAGAAATCCAGAAAAATTTGAGAATCTGGCCAACAGAAACTTCATAAAGATCAACAAAATGAAGATCAAAGTTTGTGGTGGGTTGGAAAAACATTATGCCTTTATAAATACTGGGATCCCACTGACTAAGAAACAGCCAGCCCTGATGGAAACCTGGAGTTACAAGGGATGCAAGACTGAATGTGAGCAAGCAGTGCCCTCTTACTGTGAATAAGGCAAATCACATACTGGGCTGCATTATATGTCATCTTGTTACTGTTGTGGCTGCACCTCAAATATCACATCTGGTTTCAGGCCCTTCAGGTCAAGGGAAATGTTGGCAAACTGGAGAGGACTCATCAGAGGGTTGTCAAGATATTTAGGGACTTAGGATATCAGCCCTCGGTAGAGAGATTGTGGTAAATGCATTTGCTTTATCTGGCAGCCATCCTAATAGCAGCCTACAGCCATAGAAGTAGAAGAGGAATTGCAGAGATGACAGAGGCAGTCTCTTCCCAGTCGATGACATAACACGGAACAATAGCTATGAATAGTGGCTTGGGAGGTTTGAATGAAGCCTTCATATCAAGCCTGCCAATGCAGATTGTGATTGTGCTTTTCATTCTCTCACATTTCACAATCATTTATTTTAATATCATTAACATTTCATGTCATTCAGTTGCTTTTAACACAGAATGAGTTTAAACCAAGTGAAAATTTCTATAGTCAATTACTCCTTCAGGTTCTCTTGTCATGTCAGTGTATTTAAGTCTCTTAGGGGAACAGTCAGATCTCTTTTTTTGCACAGTGAAATGAATGGAAGGTAAAATATCAACTTGGAATTCCCCAGGAAAAGGATTTCAGTCAGCTTTTGTAACAGGCTTTAAGCAGATTCAAACAGGTTTTTAATTTATGGATTTATAGCACATGCAATGCATCTGTATTCACCCCAGTAGACACGAACAGTTCTGTCTAAGGTATTAAAGTCTATTGGGTTAATGATCAACTGATTGAAAATTCTCAATAGGCTGTGATATAATAGACCATCATATTCTATTAAGTAAACCATACAAGATTATTTAAAATTGTAATTCTGATTAAGAGCTATTTTTCCTGAAATATAATAGAGAGATCTGGAAAATAAATTGCTAATAGAATTGCCAGAATAATTTACTGTTGCATGACATGAAAGTGGCTTAAATCTCTACTGGCAGATGAGCACACACAGTAATGGTTCAAAATAATCATTACTACTTAATCATGACACTTTCTGCTGGAGGAGGTAGTTATAATTTTCCAAAATGATACACTTACATTTCCTCAACTCCTTCTCTTCTTCCTCTTAATGGCATATTTCAAGTGACAAGACTCATACTGAAATGAAATTTATTTGTATCAGTTAGTGAATTAGTGGAATGACCACAAAATAGTTGTTGAAACTTAACTAAAATAATGAAAAGCATTTCAAACCATGGTTATGACTTTTACCATCACTGACTTGGTAACTAATAGCACATTATTACTAATTAATCATTTATATTTTTCTGATATGTTTACTGGTAGCAGTCTCTGACATGGTGTTTCATATCCCATTTCTAATGTTCAGTTTTACTACACTACATATGCATTATTTTCCTTTTCTGGCATGCATTAGAAAACAAAGTTTTCTTACTGTTTTTTTCTTAATTTATCAGTTAACCTTTTTCAGCAAAAACACCTGTAGACTCAAAGAGCTCTAAAAATAATATTAGAATTTACTGGGTGTAGGAGTGTCCAGTAAAGTTCTACAGTGGAAGGAGACTCAGTGGAAATGGGCAAGGGAGATGCCCAGAGAATAATGCAGGCTGTGACTGGCTGCTGCTGTTGCAAAGAAAGCTGACTTTACCCCAGTACAAGGGGACAAGAGGTTGACTTTGTTTTGAGTAAAAACCTGTGTCTGTTGTTTGGATCAATTGATTGTTTCATAAGTGTTGTAAATGTTTATCACTGAGGTAGCCTGACAAGTGTGGGGAAAGTACATTGCTTAGCCAAATATAAGGCATAGAGATTAGGTATCTAGCAAAAGAGTTTCAAAAAGAGCAGCTGGCTTGTGCTGGTTTCAACCCACGTATTTCTTCCTGGCTGCTGGGATTACCAAGCATTGTGGTGGTGAGTGTAACAGAGATTAGTAATGAGAATGATGTCAGTATTGTGATTGAACTGGGCATTGCAGTTCCTATATTTTGCAATGTGAAACTTACATGTATGTTGTGTTTTCAGTGTACTTTATATTTCACTGTGTGGAGTATCAAAAAGGTCTGTTCAGAGATAATAGGATTCTGAAAAGGTAATGAATGGTGTTGACCAATTTTTTAAATGAAAAGCACCGAATGTGAGCTCATCTAACTGTTGTCCATACGTGAAACTCCCAAACTACCTGAATGTTTTAAATTTTAATTCATTAGATTCTTGGTAAAGCAAAGGCAATTTGCAGGACAACTGTTCAGTGCATGTACCATTCAATTAACATTTTGGTACTAATGGATGAGTTAAAATGAGAGAGGTGGTAGCTAATGCCACCTTGCAAAGTAATTTTTTCATTGAATTTTTTTTCAACATATTATTGCTTTGGGACAGTGATTGCCTTAAAATCTGTGCTTCATTATTAGTCTTCCTTACTTTAACAGGACTGAGCTACTTAAAAAATTCTAATTTCACAAATATGTAGTGTTTAAAATTCATTTTTTTCCCTTAAATCATTATAATTAGTGGTAATATACGTCAAGTATGTTTGTGAGAGCAGGTTACTTCTTCATGTTTCGGTAGTGGTTTCTGGTTGTTGGTTTTCTTTGGTCCTATACTGAGCTTTGTTTTCCTTGTTTTTATTGTGTTTTCTTTTTCTTTTTCTTTTTTCAAGTGTCCTTCACTGACATACAGTTTGTTGTGCTACTTCCCTGACTTCTGGTCAGCACAGGATGACTTACCTTCATTCACCCCTTGCCTGTTATGTGGCCATTTGTTCACTAATGTCAAACATTTACTGTGGCATGTTAGGTCAAACCATAAGAGGTGGGCTTCTTTTGACACTAACTCATGGAAAATGCCTTTCCTGTGGAATCATCATAACAGTTAAAGCACTGTAACATCTTCCTTTAGATCAGTTATGCATTATTGTCTTTGTGCCTATAAGATAAGTGAAACATGACTCTAAACCTGAATTTTCTGACCAGTGTTTCTTGCTTATGTTTGCCCATGCAGTCCCAGGCTATGTCCTGAATGTACAGATGCTCACAAGATGCTACACTGGGATTAGAAATTATAATTTATCAACAGACATATTGTTCCTTACCACTAGAAAAATATTTTTAATGTACCAAAGCTAGTTGTTATATTCAAAAGAGGAACTTACTAATCTGTGATAGATCAAGCCTGGGTCAGGCTGTCTAGAAAGCTCTTGAGTTTTGTATCAAATCAGTAATTATTGAAATACCTTGAAAAATATACCTCACCTTTAGGTTTTGTAGAATAATACCTTACTGATATGTATATTTTTTTCTTTTCTTATTCAGAGCTATAGTTGTAGGTAGTAGATTGAAAGTACATAGGTTGCTCTGAAAGCAATGCTTCTTATTTATTCCCATGGGAGCTAGAACAGATAAAGCATAATTAAGGTTATTTGCTAGAGCAAATAGTTTGGTCTCT